CCCCGAAGTACTGCCCCTCTTGGGTTTAGTGCTGAAGGATGCCCCCTACCTTGTGATAGCGCTGCATGTCATCCGTTCAATAGCCAAAACTGAACGAGCTGTTGCCGCGGGTTTTCTAAGGGTTTTGGTAGTCTGAAAGCCATTCCAAAATCTTCTGAGCATATTCTAAAATCATGTCGTACCGGCCATTAGTCATCCCTCTATCTAGTCACCTCATCCAATTTCCAGTTCGCAATTTCTTCACGCATGACGACGTTTTCAAGTGGAAAATGGAGCCACTTTTGACGTCACAACGGACGATGAGTCACTCAACGAACCTTCCCCGTTGAGCTGTGGCGCTGCGCTGATGGGCGGGTGTTTCCGTTGAGTCATCCCCATGAGGACACGCACACGGTGTTGTGCTGCTCCAGAGTGGGCCCATTCATTCTTGTCTTTCGCAATAGCTGTTCACCGATGTCTTATAGGCTTCCCACTGTCGTCATAGGCTATACTATTTATACCGCGCCAGCGTTGCCCGCATGTTAGCTTCTACTCTGCCTGGAGGGGTTGCCTTCTGCACAAGTTCTCACTCCTACATCTTCTGAAGGACCCGGAACTAATCTAGTCAACTCAAGGGCCAACAGCCACGGGGTAACAGCCAAGGGCCAGCTTTACATCCTCTTAGTTCTTTGGAATACCTGTGAAGTTCAGGCCAAAGTGCAGGTATAGATATAGGTATAGGTATTGCTATAGGTGTAGACGTAGGTGTAGGTATAGGTATAGGCTAGTGAGGTATAGCGTATAGGTTACAAGGTTGATAGGTATAAGGTACTAGGTATTAGGTATAAGTTATACGATAGGTATAGGTGTACTAGTAGTATATAGATATAGGTGTATAGGTATAGGTAGGTAGAGGTAGGTGGAGGTAGAGGTAGAGGTAGGGTATATATAGAGGTAGAGGTAGGAAACTGGCCAGAAACGGCGGGGAGCCGCGTCCCTTTTGGAACTGCAGTAGTGACTTGCTGCCTAAGACTACCAGCGGATGCACCACTCGGTACGGCGTCCAACGGAACAGTAGTAGAAAAAGTGCTGAGGCTTGTCCTTCCTTTTGTGATGCGCCATGCACCGGTCTCCTATTCCTTATCGTGTAAACGCTTGAATGCGAACTTGTTTCTTACAATGGGTTACGGAAGACACCTTTACTACCTCGTAAGGCACAAGAAAATTTGTTAAACTTACAACAGACATGCCGAGGTTACAAGAAGAGAGAAGTTGGAGAACTAGGAAGAAAATGCTAAGTCCAACCAGGTCCTTGACGGTCTTATGTAGGACGAGCCCGTCCCAGGATAACCAGAGGGAGGGAGGTTAGATAGCACTGGGCAGGGTTTGATAGACCCTGGTTGGGGTTTGATCCATTGAACCATTCGGTAATTATACCAAAGGCTTTCCACTGTGTTGACCTTTACCTAAACTAGCGTGCGAGCAAAACTTTCCATCAGTGGGTTTTTCGTCCATTTATCTCATGAAAAATCAGTATTAAATAATGTTTTTGGAAGCTTTATTTATCTACGAGAAATATGTCTTTTTTGCGGGATTCCTGCGTCTGTTCAAGGGTTTTGCCCTCTCCCTTACCTCACCGTCGAAGATTTTCATCCCATCGGACACTTAAAAATCAATAAGGAGACCTTTCATTTACATCTATCTTTTTACTTTTTAATCGCTCCGCCCACCCAGTACTTCTCTTCCCAATATTGATTGTGGCCGAGATCCAGTTCCCGTTAGTGTTTTTGCCAATCGCGCGTTTGTGTGATCATTGATGGTGGTCGGACGCGTCCTTCGCTCTCTGATGCTCGCTATTTACCCTTCATAGCGCGAGGTCACATCCGTCACACTCGGCTGTCGCGTTCACTATACAAAACCCTCCGCCTGGCACCTCACCTAGCCCTTATCTGTTGTCTTTTCCAACGTTACCGTTGTATCTCTTGTTGTGAAACGCGGGAAACTTGGGTGTGACCCTGCGTTGTAATCTGCGCACATCGATTTTTTCGGACTTTCTGGAACCTGATTCAATCACGAATGGAGCCGCTGCTCAGTTTCGCATACTCTTAGTCCTTCGGAATCTTGTAAAGTTCTGGTTAAGTATAGGTATGGGTATAGGTAGATTTCGGTTTAGGTGTAGATAAAGGTGCAGGAGTAGGTGTTGGTAAAGGAGTAGGAGTGTTCGGAGATGGGGTAGGTATAGGTATAGGTATAGGTATAGGTATAGGTATAGGTATAGGTATAGGTATAGGTATAGGTATAGGTATAGGTATAGGTATAGGTATAGGTATAGGTATAGATATAGGTATAGGTATAGGTATAGATATAGGTATAGGTATAGGTATAGGTATAGGTATAGGTATAGGTATAGGTATAGGTATAGATATAGGTATAGGTATAGATAGGTATAGGTATAGGTATAGGTATAGATATAGGTATAGGTATAGGTATAGGTATAGGTATAGATATGAGTGCAAGCATAGGTAGAGTCGAGGTAGGGAAGAGGTAGAGGTAAAGGTAGAGGTAGAAGTACAGGTAGAGGTAGAGGTTGTGCGAATGAGCGATGACGGTTTGTAAAGGTAGTGCGACTGATGGATTGCGTATATCCCCAGAAGCTTTTCTGGGATGTCTATGATTAATGCTCTGTTGTACCCTGAAATTTTGGCCACGCCCCATTGCCTGCCGATCATTTGTTGATCGAGGATTCTGGGAAGCTCTGTCGAGCGAGAAGTGCCGCGAAATGCAGGAGTTGTTCTTCGACCCAGTGAGAAGCGGATCCCAATTCAGTGGGCGTGCTGACTGGTAGAGTCCTTAGTCCGGCAGGGGTGGTCACAAAGGCCTGTCTGGGTGATTTACGGTTTTTTTGCTCGGTTTTGGCCTAGTCGGTTGTCAGAGCCGGGGACGGTTGAACGATAGTGAAATGAGGCGAGCTCGGATCAGACAGCTTCCAGCTTCCTTCGTTCGAAGGAATCGGTAGAAAGTAGAAGTGGAGCTGGTGAGGTAATCCCGTTATACGAAGGTTTTCTAAGGTTTTTATGCCTTTACCTTACTCTTCAATGATCGACCACCTTTTCAATAGCTACCTAATTTAACTGGATAGATCTGAATATAAAAAACTGAAAAGATAAAGAAATAAATAGATAAATAATGAAATAACAAATAAATCGAATTTCATCTATCGTCCCGTTCCTTTGTCAATTCTTATCCTTAGTGGGTTCTGGAAAGATCTTTTTTCTTGAGCCTTTCGACTTGAGCCTTTCGACTCGATTTCGACTCGTTGCTTAGGGTTTTGTCTTTATTCTCTGACGATATTACGATCGCAGTCATAGACACTTCGTCATCATTATTTGATGTTTTCTTTATTTTTTCTCGCCCGAATTCAAAACACCATCGCTGCAGCTTCTTTCATGGTGAAATTTCGATCAAACATTCTTGTATGAGATGAACTTGGCGGTTGACTAGAGTCGTTTTGAGCTTTGATATTAGGTTTTTTTTGAATGGGAAAGGCAAAAGCGGGGAAAGGCAAGTTCCATGATGGTCAATAGGTGCGTTGATAGAGCAGTGGATCAAAGCTCTGCTTCTTATCTGGACCTTTTATATGATCAAACACCGTCTATGATAATCATTCTTTCCACCTCTTCGATGCCAGTTAACGAATAGCAGTTTTGGCTAAATATTTAAACAACTAATTCTGTGAAATCGCACATCAACTCCGTCTACGATTTTGGGTGGATGATAAGTGCATGGCGTATCACAATGTAAGCTATGGAACTTCTGTGAGCTAAGGCAAGCGTTCGCTCCCAATGTAAAGTAATGAATTTTACCTCATTACCCGTTGTAAGGTCGTTTTCTAATAACAAATAGTACCTTCATCCCCCCTCACCCCCGTTCTCCCTTTGTTCCTACAAAACTCATATGCACTAGATAATAATTAAGTATGCAGTTCATAACTCTTGGGTTTCTAGCGTTAGATTTTTTCAAAAATTGTTTTCTAATATTATTCACAGCCGCATGTTCTGATAATTCATCCCAGGAGTTCTTCTAACCATTGATATATCTTCTCACTAATTTTTTAAACGTTTTTCGGACCCCTCACCTTATTTTTCAAGGTCCTTTCTTTTTTAGAGGGGGGGGGGTGAGGGTGGTGAAGGTGGTTATTTCCCTAGAGGTTTTCGGTGATTACGTTCATACTCGTGTTTTCCATGTTTTCCAGACAATTCATAGTCATGTGTAAAATTTTGAACTACTAGCTACTCATTTCTCTCCCAGAAGTTTTTGAAACTGATAGCTTTATTTCCGGAAATTATAAAACTTTCAAATAAGTTTCTTGATTTTGATTTTGTTAACAATTCTCCAAAAATATCTGAGCAATGTACTTTCTTGAGTTAGGTTACTCAAGAATGGCTAGAAAAGAAGCCCTGTGTTACAAAAATGTGATGCTGAAGAGGACGGTCGTGGTCAAAACGAACTTATGGGGATGCGCACGCCGTTCGACTTTTTTCTGAATTGCAAAGGACTTTGTACTACATATACATCCTTTACCGACATACTAGAGACTACAGATCTTTTGTTAGTCAGGCTGACATTCAGATTAGGACAGATATCCTGACAAATAACTGTGGCCCTAAGCGATTACTCTCTATGGGTAGAGGGCCTAGTGAGCTTGGGTGAGATTAGATCTTGCGAGCATGCACGGTAAGCAGGACGCTTTTTCACTGCACCATCTCAGTCACAGTTTTAAGTGATGTCCTCTGAACAATCGGACTGTATTCTTCAATATTTTCTCAGCTTTTCATTTTTATGAGCTTTTTGATATTTTTCTATGTCTTGAAACACCGTAACTTTCACATAAGTGGGTGGTCTAATCGATATATATATATATATTGTTTTTGAAATATATATTTCCTCGATCGGTTTGTTATCGCTTACAAAACTACATTGATTGTTTTAAATTCCTTCAATTAGATTCGACGGCTTCAGAGATGCTCGGCACCCCTTCCGTTCGTCCGCTACCCAACTTCAACGCCAATCAGGATGCTGAAGCTCTTCGAAAAGCCATGAAAGGCCTCGGCTGCAACAATTCGAAGGTTCGTTCCAGAAAAATAAGGAAAATCCTTTCTCTGTGTGGGGACAAAAATTGGGTTGTAAATGAGTAATTGTGGATATTTTAAGGTGATCAGTGTGCTGTGTGGTCGAACAAATTGGCAGAGACAAGAGATCGCTAAGGCATTCAAAGTGATGTATGGAAAGGATCTAATAAAGGTAAGCAATTAAAAGCGATAGCACTAAAGAATGTTATTTTTTTCCAAATTTCAAAAGAATAGGTCGGAGGACAAACATTTGATAGTTCTGGTCCGCGATTCAGCCCTTTCATGCCACGCAGTGCCGCGCCTTGCCGCCAATGGGCTTAAGTTGTTTCAGTGAAGCCCTTTATAGGAGGAGGGGGTGACCATTACTACACCACATATCCGCTGGTTCCCTAAGTTTCAAAGCTCTTCACGCTTCTTCCGTGAGCGCTTTGGCATAACCTGGAAGGGTTTCTTGGGTAGGGCTTCCTTGGAAAAAAAGCAACCACAAGGTTGATGGTGGCATAGCTATTACCTGCAACATGTTACCCTAGTCCTGATGGGCGTCATTCGCGTTATTTGTCTCGCTTAGAGGATACTTGATGCTTTGACAGATACGCTAGCATTGCGCTTAAGAGGATGAGTCTGATCGTCCTCTCTTGCTGTTCTCTAGTTGAGAACCCTCACAGCATGGCGTTTCTTAGCACCCCTATGTTCACTTCTCTTCGGTTGAGTCCAGGGTAAGAGGTAGTGAAAACGATGGCTGGAGGGTGGAGCGGTTCAAATGGCGTAATGACATTGGTGGATCGGACACCTCAACGCCGAGAAGGGCATGGTAGGAATCACCTCCCAACACCCCTACATCAACCACCCTCTTGCACTTTTACTACATTCCGGTTCAAGAACTTGGATACTGTAGCGAATCCCAGGCCGTGACATCAGAAACTACCGGTCTCTCGTCAAGGACCCTATTCTTCTGAATGTCTCAGTAGTAGGGAGGACATAGAAGAGCTCAGAAATTCGGCGATCCATGGATTTTCAAGGATCTCTAAGTTCAGGAAGAGTTCCTACTTTCCAAACATTCTAATGCGACTCCTAAATTCCAGCTTCGAAGGCATTCCTAAGATTTGGAAGCACTTCTTCCAGCACTCTTCAAACATGAAATGTGCTATCTGCTTACGCTACGGGAATCTGATGAAATAGCTTCCACCCCCCCCCCCCGCCTCCCCTCGGAAACGTTTCATAGAAAACAGACTATTCGACCCCAGGCATTTCTTCACCCTAGTCGTAACCAGTTGATAGAATCTCTTTCAACTTTAGTGTCGATGATCGGGAAATAATAGGCGTTTCGATGGAGAGGACAGCTGGTTTTTTCCAGGGAGTTGCGGGATTTCTCGGTCGTTTATTTTCGAACGATTGAAAAAAATCTATTGTTATCAGATACGCATCAGGCTGCGCCGTGCTTTCGAAATTCTTTCCGAATTGCGATCATAATGGAATTTTTTATTTCCTCCAATCAAATGAATGAAGTAGATAATTGTGGGTTCTTCAATGCTCTGATATGGCTTAATAGAGTGAAGGTACAAAGTCGCACATGCAATGGGAATCAAACTGGAGACCTTAAGGGATAAACAAAGGGCCGCTCCCAAGCCTCTAAGCCAACGATCAAAAATACTATCATTCAATCACTAAAAAATAATTGACTAAAAAAAGCTCAAAGATTCTTGCTATCATAATTGCTTTTCTTTTTGTGGGCAAAAGCCATATCAATTAAACCAGTTTTGCTCCGCCCGCTATCGCGCGCATCACACGGCAGGCTTTAGCGAAACTGGAGGACCCATGGAATATCAGCATGAGGTACTCCATTAACCACCTCACTATTGAATGTGTTAGACCTTTCCCAGTTTCGCTGAAGTCCATCGAGAATACGCGTGATAACGTCTGGAGCTGAACTGGCATAATTTATCTCACAACTGTAAACATCCCACCATTCTTCTTGAATTCAGATATATTTAGCGGTGAATAGGATTGCTGTCAGTCTCAAAA